TGGATCTGCTGGATCATGTGGTCCCAGTGGGAGAGCCTGGACCTGGTGAAGAGGCTTCTCCTGTTCCAGGCCCCACACAAAGCTAGCAGCTTTCTCAGTCACGTGTGCGTGGGCTGGAGTAACACACCCAAGTGGGGAACGTGCTGTCTCCAGAATCCAAACTGGCACAATACACATTGTGCTTCTTTCTTGGTGGTGGGAGGGGCCAAGTGCAATAACTCACCCTCCACCTTAGAAGTATCTCTGCATGCCCCACACGACTGGCCTCTGAAGAATTTCACCGAGGTAGAAGGCCCTTGAGTTTTGGTTGCGTTTATTTCCCATCCTCTGGTGTGCATATGTTACCAACAAGTCCAAAGTGGTTGCTACCTCCTGCTCACTTGGTAGAGTCAGCATAATGTTGTCAATATAGTGCACCAATGCTATTATTTTATGTAAGAGACAGACAATAGAGATCCCTTCTAAGTTATGACACAGGGCTGGAGAGTTCATATATCCCTGAGGCAAAACTGTAAAGGTATACTGGTGGCCTTGCCAACCGAAAGCAAATTGCTTCCTGTGGACAGGTACCAAGAAAAGGGGCGTTTGCTAGATCAATAGCTGCATACCATGTACCAGGAGATGTGCTGCTAATCTGCTCAAGGAAGGACACCACATCTGGTAGAGCAGCTGCAGTCAGTCACTATTTGATTGCGTTTTCGATAGTCAACTGTCATTCTCCATGACCCATCTGTCTTCTGCATTGGCCTGACAGGAGAACGAAAGAGACATGTGGTGGGAACACCTCTGCGTCTTTCAAGTCCTTGATGGTGGCACTGATTTCTGCAGTTCCTCTAGGGATGCAAAACTGGTTTTGATTCACTATTTTCCTTGGCAGAGGCAACACTAAAGGCTTCCATGTAGTCTTTCCAACCATGATAGCCCTCACTCCCCAGGTCAGGGAACCAAGGTGAGAATTCTGCTAACTTCTAAGTATATCTATCCCAACTATATCCTGGGGCTGGGGAAATAACCTCGGATGACTTCAGGGACCCACTGGACCTACTATGAGTCAGTCTTTGGTCAAAACCCTACTAATCACCTGACTTCCATAAGTCCCTACTTTAACTGGAGGGCCACAACATTTCTTGGGGTCTCCTGGAATCAGCGCCAATTCAGAACCAGTATCCAATAAACCCCTGATTATTTCCCTTCCCCCAGTGTACAGATAGATACCCTTGTAAAAGGCCATGGGTCCCTCTTAATTCATCCAACAGCATCAGCATCTCAACCCTAAGGTCTGGCCCAAGGAGAAGGGTGACAGCAAAGCTCTTCCAGTGTGCTGGGGCCCCTTTCATCATTTTGCATCTTATGGGATTAAATTTTAAGCAGCATACCCCATCCAGCACTGCAATTTCCCTGAGCCTTAAAATCCCATCATCAACACTAAGCCAAAGGATGTTTGACATCTCCAGGTCCTTTTCAGGACGCCAATTTTTGACCAATGCTTCAGCCAGGCAAACTTGTGACACCTTTTTAAAGCTGTGTGGGCTTCCAGATAGTGGGCCCGTGTAAATAAACTCAGCCTGATCCAGTTCAATGTTCCTTCCTCCATGCTCCTACACCCTTAAAATCCATTCCCACACATATTCCCAGACTTCTGCTTGAATGAATTAGCAAACTCATTCAGCTCTTTGGCAGCGTAGCGCACCTCCTCACGGGTGCCTTCTGCCTCCCCTAGGAACCCGCTTTGCCTCAAGTCTGGTTACAGGTAGGTCTGGAGACAACTACGGGTGGGCCCTGAGGAACATCAGTATTGTCTCGGCTGGTATCTCCTTCAGAGAAAGTCTCTGCTGGTTTAGCAGATGATGAGGGATTAATTTCCTCAGGTAGAAAAGGCAATATTTCAGGGGTGGAGTGGGAGTGCCTCTGCTGAGGTGGGGAGAGACTGCTTCCTCAGGTGAGATAAGCCCTTGAGAATCTGAAGGTTCAATGTTCTCAGCTTCAATAGGCCCCTCCCACACATTCCCATCCCAAGTTACAGGATCCCATTCTTCACCAACTAATGTCCTTAGCATAACTCCAGACATCCTTTGAGGCTGGGACTGACTTTGTGCTGTAATTCAGGCAACTTTCTAATGATGGCTTCGGTTTGACTTTCCACAACTTGAGCTGTGGCTGCTGGAGAGAAGAGTCTCCTCCAGGGCACACTCAGAAACCTGTAGACTGTTTATGTTCATCTGAAGCCAGGCAATTTTATCACTGAGTTCACTGTCCTTCACCCTATTCTGAGATGCTAGAAGTTGGTTAATTTTATCACAGAGCCCATTTCTTTCCTTTGTCAATTTACCCACGGAGGCTAAGAGCAATCAGCTAGCATCACCTTCCCCTTCTTTTCTCCACAAACCGACAAAAGTTTTATATACAGAGTGACCAAATCCGCTGCCTCTCACAATTGGTCAATCAGGATAATCAAATGCATTTGTCTTCTTAAGCTTGTAAAACAGTTCACACCATGGGCTTTCAGAATGCTCTGAGCTTCTAGAAGGTTCAGTAACTGGGGAGGCTTTGGTAACTGTTGGTGTTGGCAAATTGGAAAAGCCTATGCCAGACCCTTAAAATATTCAGGCTTGCCGGGCGGTGGTGGCGCACGCCTTTAATCCCAGCACTCGGGAGGCAGAGGCAGGTGGATCTCTGTGAGTTCAAGGCCAGCCTGGTCTCCAAAGCGAGTTCCAGGAATGGCGCAAAGCTACACAGAGAAACCCTGTCTCGAAAAACCAAAAAAAAAAAAAAAAAAAAAAATATTCAGGCTTATGCTTGTATTGGTCTGGAACCGCTTCTGGTAAAAATCTGTGTTAGGGTCCTCTAGAGGAACAGAACTGATAGAATGAATAGATACTTCATATATATATGTATGTATGTATATATATATACTTTATATATACTTTATATATGTATGTATATACGTCACATCTATTATGTATATATGTATGTATGTATGTATCTATCTATCTATCTATCTATCTAACTATGAGAAAAGGGGGTTTATTAGAATGGCATACAGCCTGTGATCCAGTTAGTCCAACAACAGCTGTCTACCCACCTGACTGGGTTTTAATTCCAGACATAGTCAAGTTGACAAGTAAGAATAGACACCATACATAGATTTCGGATTTGTGACTCTCCAAGTTATAAAGATATACCTATTCTATATATGAAAACACTATCCCTGACCAAATCCTATTGCTCTACCCCCTGGGAAACAACTGTCATTGAATGGCTACCACGGTTCAATCCATAACCCAGGGAATTCACCAGTTCACCGTCTGGCCCTCGGCACTTCATCTGAGACCATGGCTCATCAGGCACAATGAGACAGATGAATGGAAGACTAACACTTACCAATCTAGCTCTCTCAGAGAGAACAGAATACCCATTTATTGGCTTACTCCTGAAAATATAAAAACTCAACAGGACAGACCAGAAGCTGTTTGGGGAATGAACTCAGAATTAAGGTAACTGGACATTGAGGATTGTTGGTGCCAAGCCACTGCTAGTCATTGGCCCCTCTCCTGATTCTGTTGACATTCTGGCAAATTCTGCCGCCCCCCCCCCCCCCCACTTCTAGGTTCCTCAAAGGTTATCACTATGCTGCTTCAACTACTGTTCATCAAATGGCTACTCCATGCTGTCATTTGCAGTTTCTTTAGAAACTTGGGGTGCAGCCATGCCCACACCTTTATAGAGCATTATCTCGGTATTCAACACTGATATCTCTCTAGACCCCTTTCTCCAGGAAAGTTCTCTTTGGTGGTGGTGGGCAGGGGGGCAATGACCAAGTGCTGTGTATTTCTTTTCTTGTGATTTCATGAATGTCACTCTTGTAGAATAACATTATCACCTTTAGAGATGGTGGGACTAGGGACCTATGAACCAGTCCAATCCCTCGGTTCAAAATTCCAATCACTCAGAAGATTTTACGTGTATCTTAGTTGAGTATTTTATTTGAGAAGGGGCCTAGTGTTTAAACACATTTAGTGATTCACAGAATAGTCTTACAGAATACTAGCTGTGGCCATTTCTCAGAGCTGATCCCAAAAGGGCTTGTGACTAGGTGGTCCCTTCCAATTTGCAGAATAATTCTACAATGATAATTCACATTGCCATTAAGTGTTGCTTACCTTTCTCCAATTTCCTCACATCCATAAACCAGGACTAGTCATGGGATCACCAAATCAAAGGTAAGCCTCCCATCTAACTAACATACATAGCTTTTTGTTCACCAAACAATTTCTAGTGACAGTGTCCCATGCCTACTCTTCCCTTCTGGAGATGACACTCACCTGCTGAAACCTCAATCCTGAGCTTAGAGTGTTAATGGAGGCTCGGGACATAGCTTATTTGGTAGAATGCTTGCTTAGCATCCATGAAGCCCTGGAGTTTGATTCCCAGTACCCCATAAGCCAGACATTGTGGTGTATATCTGTAATCTCAGCACTTAGGAAGCAGAGGCAAGAGGGCAAGGTCAAAGTCATGTTCATAGTTGAGGCTGATCTGGGATGCCTGAGACCCTCTCCCTACACACACACACACACACACACACACACACACACACACACACACACGTTGATGTAAACAATAACAAGTAACAAGTAGGAGTAGGAAAGACTTATGAAGCCTTTTTTTTGGACTCAGTTTCCCCATTTGCAAATGTTAACATTTATGCCTTTAGTTCTTCTAGTTCTAAAATCCAAGGATTCTTTGAGAACATCGAATCACACAGAAAGTTCCATTTCTGCCTCTTCCTTGTGAGGACTCCGATCCTTTTACAGGAACTCTCGTAATTCCTTTAAGCTGTTTTGAATAGTTTACTAAATAAAAGGCTGTCAAAAAACCACTCATTAAGGACACACAGTCTTTGCTCTAAGAGCTACTGGTTTAACTGCAAGGAGAGGCCGCCATTAAAACACAGACACACACGCATGCACACATAGCAGGCAGAACCACTTTTGGAAACAATCTCTGAACTTCAATTTTATTTTTACAAAAAGGCAACAAGAATAGCGAGGGGGGAGGTAGTAAGAATGCTTGCTGGGTCACTCAGGGGAAAGAGACCTCCACAGGCAACAGGAGCGGGCCAGTTTGCTCTTCCTTGCCCGTTTCTAACAGCAGTGAACAAAGAGAAGTCCAAGACAGACTCGCTGGGCGTACGTTAGCAAGGTCAGTGTGTATAGACTGGGACAATGAACAGGGAAGGTCAGTTATCACACAGCCCCATCCAGAGGTAATGGGGTTCAAGTCAGACTATTGAGGCCTTGACTCTACATAGCCTGGGCCATGTCTTTGTGGTCGCCTGGGCCGGCCTCTCCAGGGCATATAGGGGCCCTGAGCTAATCGCCTTTGGAAACCCCTATGCGCCCCGGGGGCCGGGCGCTGGTAACAGGGTGGGCGGTAGTTGGGCATGGGTGGCTGGGGATGAAAACTAAAGTCACCCTCAAAGGTATATCCTGTGTGGGTGGGTGCGGGGTCCTCTGAATGAATATAGAATTCATCCGTCTGGAAAACATGGTCTGAGGAGAAATAGGAATCTTGGGGATATGGGGGTAACGGGGGTGTCACCTGAGGTGGGGGCAGCGGACATGCTAGTAGGGGTGGGGGCCTTACGGGCAAGCCAGGGGGCGGGAATAGGGGGCGTGGCCTGGGAAAAGGCCCAGGTGGAGGCGGGGCAAAGGCCTGAGGACCTCTATTGGCCTGGGGCTGCCATTCCTCTACCCGGCCTGCACTTTCCCAGTCCACAGGATCAATTTCCAATGGGTGTCGTTGGGGCAACTCCACACCCCAGGCATCGGCCATGTGGGCCAGCAGCATGTAGGTGAGTCTGCGGTGTGCATGTTCATTCCAGTGCACGCCATCTCCCTGCAGGTGCTTCTTGGCTTGCCGGAAGTGGAAATTTAAGTCCAGCACATCGAAGCAGCGCTTGGTTGCTTCTGCATGGCTGTACAAGTTGGCTTGCCTCACTCTTTTTTTCAGGGTGGCTACCGAGATCCGGGCCTGGCCCTTACACTTCTGAGGGAGGAAGGCCGCCTTGATCTTGTCACCCAAGGGCATGGCAGTGTTCCACACTAGCAGGCATGACTTGGGCAGTACCTGGTCCATGCGCCCAAACAGGTTCTCCAGATTCTGCCTATAGCTACTCAAGGAATTCCGCCCGTACCTGGAGACGTCCCAGAGGCAAGAGTTCATAATGATCACATCCGGGGCATGTGTGCCAGACTGCAGCTCCTCCAGGACGCTCTCCATGTACTCTGAATAGACGCGCGTGAGGAAGTAGAAGCGCACCAGATGGTGGTCGGAGCAGAACTCGCGCACCTCGCGGTAGTCGGTGCGGTTGTGCAGCGTGTCCAGCTCGCCTCCCTTCATCAGCTGGTCCTTTTCGAAGGTCAGCTCCCCCTTCATTCTGAGCTGCTTGTAACTGAGCAGGCAGTCCTTCTGCAGCAGGAGCACCAGGTCCTTGTACACCGCCCTATGCACAGAGTCCCCAAGGACGACCACATACTTGTTGTGTAGAAGCTGCTGCACTTCTGAGGCCAACAGGCGAACCATGATGCCCTGCGTCGGTCGCGCCTCTTAGCTCCCTCTTTTGCACAAGCTGGGTCTGGGAACTGCTAAAACAGAAGAGAGAGCGCTGGGAGGGGCCCGCTCGCCCTTAGGCAGAGGGCAGCAAGCTTGAGAGAGACGGGGGAGGTCGCTTGGGGAGCTGCCACCGAGGGCTGAGAGGAGGGGTTGGGTAGGGAAGAGGGCAGGGGCAGACCCTCCTTGATCTGGCTGAAGTTTAGGCCTGCAATTTAATCTCAACTATTGGGCCTTATCTTCTTTCCGCTCTGTCCATCTATTCCCCTGTTACTTCCAACAATTACCATTTCTGGAGGCTCAAACCATCTTTAATTTGTTAAAAACCCAACCACTGGGCTGGGGAGATGGTTGAGAGGGTGAAGGTTCTAACAGAGGATCTAGGCTTACATCCCCAACACAGACAAGCAGATCCCCAGGTTTACCCGGCTAGGCCAAAACGGCAGGCTTTCGGTTCAGTAAGAGAACCGCTCTCAAAATATAAGGCGGGCAGCTGTGCCTGGGAGGTGGCTGCCTTTAACACCAGGATTTAGGAGGCCGGCGCAGGCAGAACTCTGCGAATTCAAAAGGCTAGCTGGGCCTAGCAAGTTCCAGACCAGCCAACAGTACGTAGGGAAAGCTTGTCTCAATAAAGAAATGAATGTGCGTGGGGGGTGGGGGGGGGTGGGAGGCAGAGAATAAATAACAAGAGGAAGAAATGCCTCAGACCCAGAAAGACAAATATTACATGTTTTCTTTAAAAAAAAAAAAAAAAAAAAGAGGAAGGTACGCATCACTGATCTGCATCACTGATGTCCGGTCTCCACACTTGAGAGTGCATGTGCGTGTTTGCGCATGCGTGTGTATATACCCCACCCCCAAATGCCACCCACATCCTTAAAAAAAAAAAAAAAAGCCGGTGGCGCACGCCTTTGATCCCAGCACTCAGGAGGCAGAGCCAGGCAGATCTCTGTGAGTTCGAGGCCAGCCTGGTCTACAGAGCGAGATCCAGGACAGGCACCAAAACTACGGAGAAACCCTGTCTCCAACAACAACAGACAAACAAACAAATAAATGGAATAAAAAGGGTTCTGGGGGGGTTGGGGCTTTAGCTCAGTGGTTGAGCGCTCCTGGGTTCGGTCCTCAGCTCTCGAAGAAGAAGAAAAAAAAAAAGGGTTCTGGGGATAGAGTCCTCACTTGTAGAAAGCTCTAGGTTCTGTCCTCTGCATTTACAACCATAGGAAATATTCTAATGACTTACATTGTTTCACTTTTCTTCCATGCCTTTCTTTGCATGTAAATATCAAAACTGTTTTTCTATTCTCCTGCCAATCTGTCTCTTGGTTAGTTTGCATGTCCCCGGGGGCTAAGCTAAGAAGTAGAGAAAAGGCTTGGCCTTTCCAAACACTTTGGATGAAATGCTGACAGGTGTGGAACTTATCTTCAAAATCTCAAATTAAGGCCAGGCGGTGGTTGCACACGCCTTTTAATCCCAGGGTTGCAGAGGCAGAGGCAGGAGGATCTCTGTGAGTTAAAGGCCAGTCTGGTCTACATGGCCAGCTCCAGGTCAGTCATGGCTATGTTGTGGGATCCTGTCACTTAGGATGCATCTCCTGGGACCATTAGCAGGTAGAATCACATTTCAATTCTACTTCAAACTATAACCAGCCAGGGGCACAGAAGCCACGTTAGCCATGTGAAAGCCAGTGAAACCCACCATGACTCTGAGAGCTCTAAGGTAATGTACACTGTAAACATTACAGGCATGGGTGGATAACTGGCACTAAACTGTAAATAATTATTTTTTCTCTGTTTTTTTTTTTAACAGTATTTCTCTGTATAGTCCTGGCTGTCCTGGAACTTGCTCTGTAGACCAGGCTGGCCTTGAACTCCCAGAGATCCACCTACCTCTGCCTCATAAGTGCTGGGATTAAAAAACCAAAGGCGTGCGCCACTACTGACTGGTAAATCGGTATTTTTTTAGAAAAGGTATATTCTGTGCTGGCCTCAAACTCCTGACCATTCCAGCTTAGCCTCTGAGTGCTGGTGTTAAAAGCGTGCACCACTACATCTGGAACTTTTTTTGGAAATGGGGTCTCACTATGGAGCCCTGATTGTCCTAGAATTCACGATGTAGCTCAAGCTGACCTTGAAGAACTCAGAGATCAGTCTGCCTCTACTTGCCGGAGTGCTGGACCAGGCCCAGCTAACAAATTAAAATGTTACGGCTGTACTACAGAACAGGCAAAATATCGCTATCAAAAGAGAAGTTTCACAGGGAGAGGCGGCACACCTTTAATCCCATCATCACTCGGGAGAGAGGCAGGTGGGTATCTATCCAGCCTGGTCTACTTAATGAGTTCTGGGGACAGCCAAGGCTACACACAGTGAAACTCAGTCTCAACAAAACCAAAAGGAAAACAAAAAAAGTTTAACAATAATAGCTCATCACCCTGGCGCAACAAGATAACACATTAAGTAAAGAATGCGCAGGGCTGGAGATGAGGCTCAGGTACTTAGGGAGCTCACCTAGCAAACGGAGAGCCAGAGGCGGCATCCCCATCCCCGCAGAACCTGGAGTGGGGGCGCAAACCGTAACCTCAGCACTTGGGAGGCAGAGGTAGGAAGGTCATCTATGAGTACTTAGTGAGTTCCAGGCCAGTCTGGTATATGTGAGACATTGTCTCAAAAAGGGAGTGGGGAGAGAGGAAGAGAGAGAACATGAGGTAAACAGTATTTGTCCTCTGACCTTAGAAACACTGATAAACTAGGCTTGGTAGTACAGGACTATAATGCTAACACTTGGGAGGCAGAGGCAGGAGAATTGCCATTAAGTTCTAGGCCAGCCTGGTCTACATAGTTAAGACCCTGTCTCAAAATATTAAAAGAAGAAAAAAAATAAAAATAAAAGGAGAGGGAAGGGAGAACCTCACTGATAACTGTCATAATATAAGTCTCAGGTGTGGTGGTGCAAGCCTGTAATACCATACAGCAAGGCAGACAAGGAGGACCAGGAGTTCAAGGCCAGCCTAGGACAAAACAAGAAAAAACGTGCTAGAGAAGAACACTGCTTTGGAGCCACAGTAGTGGGGTGGGACCCTGGCGCTGCTTGCCAGCTCTTTGCAGCTAAGTTACTTAGCCTCTCTGTGAAATAGGACTACAGTACTCACGTCAATTTGATGCGGGGATTGAGTGTAGTGTGCTCAGATACTCTGTTTATGCTTGTATGTAGGCAGGCACTCCCGGGGTCCAGTAGAGAGTGTCAGAGTCCCTGCAGCTGGAGCTCAGGGCAGTTTCGAGCAGCCAGATGTGGCTGCTGCTGGGGTCTGAGCAGCAGTGCTCTCCACCTGGGCCAACTCTCCAGCCCAAATGTAAAGAACTTAGAACAATGCCTGCCAAGCATTGTTCTTAAGTACCAGTATGAGTTAGTGATTCTCAGTGAGCAAGCTACAGAACACCAGTTTAGCCATCCGAAAAGGGGGAGAAAACTGTTCATCTGTTATCGGGGTTCCACAAAACCAAAGGAGATGATGAAAGGGGAGGGTTTTCAATATAATGCCGATGTTTACGGAACAACTCTCGGATGCCACTTTAAGGTGGCCTACTTAAGAGATCTTTCTCCCCACTCCTATCTTATAGAAAGGATGGAGCTAAGATTTACTCGCTTTATTCATAGGCAGCTATCTACTCTGCTACCGGGGTTGTGTGTAATTGTGGGTAGGGGTGGAGAGAATGAATGTACCATATCTCATCATTCAATCTCAAGCCAAAAGACACAAATATTAAACCAGGTATTAGCATAAACCAGTAAAAAAATCCAAACGCTGCCCCATGGGAAGGTGTGGTTCCCAGCATTTCAACCAGGGAACCTTGGACCACATGCTGCCCCCACCCACCCACCACCTGGCCCCAAGTCAAGCAAAACTGCCTGCAAGAATTAGCCATTGTCCTCCAGGGGAAGGTGCCGATAGCATCTAGGAGAAAGGGAGGGGAAGAGCATTCCAGTAGGCAGCTGAAGCCAAGACAAGGGGTGGGGGGGCGCTCAACAACCAGATGGACAAAGTCAGACACCCTCTGCCTGGTCCCCATGGGAAAGGGTTGATTGTGCTAGGAGGCCACCCAAGACATGCCCAAACCTAAATGACATGTTTAGTGGACTGAGAGAACACCAAGGTAGAAAGACTGAATGCTCTCCGACACTAAAGGCCAGCAACTTCCAGTTCCGGGTTCTTATTTATAAAACTGAAACAAAAAGGGACTAGAATATAGCCAGGCTAGAGCAATAAGCTCCCTTATTAGTTTTGGGAGCTATCTGATGGACTCATTTCATTAGGAGGGGACACAGTGAGTCAACTGTTGTGCTCCAAAACCAGGGACAAAAAAGAGCAGTCTCAGATGGCGTGTCGGTGGTAAACATCTGTAATCCCGGCACAAGGCGCCAAAGGTGGATTGCTCAAAAACTTAAAATGAGTTGGTCTCTTCCCTCCAGGGGAGAGATAAGCAAAGGCTGCCAAGGACAGATAAGGGGGGGCTGACCCTGCAAGGGGATGTGCGCAGAAGCACCCAAGGCTGCTGAAGGAGTCAGGGTGGAGGTAGAGGGGTACAAGGCCTACAATTCCACGCTTAAAAAGTTCCCCTGATTCCCCAAATCTGCTTCGCTGCAAGATCTGGGCCTCTAAAGTTGTGGGAGAAATATGCATTAATAATGGCGACCGCTATTTTTAAAAAATGACTTTCAAGCAATTTGCTTGTATTTCTCCATTTGGGGACAATTAATTTTTCAGTAGCTCCACGAGGCATGAATTATAAATCTTAGACTGTTACTTTACAGCCATCCCCAAACAAACCCAGATCATTTTTTTTCATTAATCAGTGTTGTGTAGTAATTAGGTTAGTTTTTGGAAGAATGACAAGGAATTAGGCCAGTGGCTCTGGAGATCCGACAGAGATGTCTTAGAACATAAAGACAGGCAGGCCTGACAATTAGGATGCTGCTTCGATTTCTAGCAGGTAAAATTTGTAACTAGTTTAATAGTTTCATGCATCTGACTAAATA